AGCCAAGTTTCTACTTCAGACTGCTTTTGTAACATGAAATTCAAAGCACTCCCATGACATCCAAACAGAAATATTTACACAAGATGTGTATAAATATAAAGTTTATTCAGTATAGTGTTTAGAAAAATAAGTTCACATCATCTCAGAATACAAATAAAACACTTAATTGTCCAGGCACAAACCCCTATTACAGTACAACAAACATACATACTTTAGATCTCTTTGGTTGGGTAATTAAGCACAGATATGTTTGATGATACACTCTGGGGCAGCATCACCTAACAGTGCAGTAAAGTCTTCTTGATTATTCCCTCCTCTAACGCGTACATTCCGCTTAAATTTCATATTTGTTGTAAGGCACAATAAAACCCATATTGGAGAAATAACTGGTTAGTTCTGGACAAACAGTACATGCAGCAAAAGAACAAACATCCTCTGAACGTGAATCCTGAAAGCCAGAAGATTCACCCCCTCCTTGAGTTCAGAAATTTAAGAAGCAAGTTTTAAATTATATGAAACATACAACTAAGGTATAAAATATCCTTCAAGATAATAASTACTAGGAGATACAGGAAGACTTAAGGTATCCTTGCTTTTAAAAATACCTTTTTTTTTGTTTTCAGATTTATAAAATCACTATTCTTTTTGATGATTTGACATTCTTCTCGACCACAAGCACAGGGCAGTTCATGCCCCTGCACACATATTTCACATGATACTGGAGGGATGCATCCTCCTGTTTATCTGCCCTGCTAAGAAAAACACACAGATACTGGAAATCTATGTGCATGAAAATCTCCTGTGCACACAGGGCCCAAATTCCACCCTGATTTAATTTAACTGAAAATTGTTACTGAGGTGATTTTGCAGGATTGGAAGTCAGAACCTGTCCGTTATTGTCATCAATCTCAGACTGAGAGCAACAACAGCTCCAGCTTCATTTCGGGGTAAAGCCACTTTCTGAATGAGTCTTCCTGAATCCACAGGTAGGGAGAAGCAGTAAATGGGAAGAGGTATATGCTTTTGATAAACTGTGACTGTTTGGTTCTACCCAAGTGTCAGCCTTGTGCTCTGGTTTGTGCTGCCASCATGTACTGGGCCAAATCCGTCCCTGACCTAACACGAGTGAAATGAATGGACCATATTCCCAGCTGGCATGAAAAGGATGTTAAAGTCAATGGAAATGTGATAGTTTAGCCCAGCTGAGGACCTGGCCGATAGATGTCCATGATTTACATTTTTACATTTCTGAAATGTCCTTGCAGGCAAGACCACAGGGATAATGCTGCAAATAGTCCACACAGAGGATTCAATTTAACCTGTTTCTGGTTTTCTGCAAAACTCTGGGTGAAACAGAGGCAGCTTTAATGAAAAGTAGTAAAGAAGAGAGGGGTTTTCAACATCGTGCTTTGTAAGAATTTGCTTAAATTTTAGGCATGTTTTTCAAAGCTGAGTCTGGGACCAGAAGAGTAGTAGAATTTGGCAATGTTTTCTGTAAGATTTCCAGTGGACTTAGAAGTTACAAACATATGTGAAGCTGAAATGATCCTTTATTCTCATTCACAACAGAGAGGAAGAGAAGGAGTGTGTATGCCAGGTAGACATAGCTTCCATTTAAACAGCAGAATGTGATAATAAGGGCTGTCTGTGGGGCTTGGACACTCACTGCCTTCCCACATGTGGGAGACCAGCATCCAAATCCYCTAAACACCATGTAAAAATCCTTGGTTTGGGAATCAGTGGAGCAATGCCTTATTTACAGCAGCCAAAGATCTGGCCCTGGACACTTTTCGGTGCTTTGAGTACTGCCTATTCAGARCAGTCAGCCTGCCTGCCTGAGGGCCACAAAATAAAAAATTTACCCTTGTAAGGAGAAAAACTACTTATTTAAATTTCTATTTTAAACACAGTGTACCGTGCAATGAGTCTTTATATTGTGCATATGTACCTGCAGAAAACATGAGGTTATAGCTACCTTATCTGGAGGGAATGACACTTATTTTCAATGGGWGAAAGAAAGAAAGAGTAAAAGATAATAAGAAGTTACTTGATATCTGGAAGACTAGAATAGATTAATCTTACTTTTGTCCCAAAACACTGCTTTTATGTACATCCTCCACTCCCGCTGAAGAGTGGGAAGTCTCCTATTGGAAGTACCAGACACTCCAAGAAACGTGCCACTGTAACAACATACACAGTTTTCACATCAACTGTGCTGCAAAGCCATGGAATTCAGAGCCTCAGTAACACAGTAAACCCAAAGAAGGAAAAATTAAAAATAAAGTAACAGGTACTGTTGTAACACCACAGTCTCTTCAGTTATGAGACATGATCACACCAACAACTGCTCTGAAATATTCCCTAGCTTGCCTCCAAATATAGTCTGAGCTTCACAGACCAAATGTTAATCCACCATCAACTCCTTCAGAGCCAAGCACACATTCTCCATTAAAATGACAGCGATACAGGGTATTTCTAATTTTCCAAWCGGCTGAATGATTTCATGCAAAGCACATACAGCTACTGTCATCACCATCYGAGTTACACGGGCGAAGAAGAGGTGGGAAACAGATTGCTCCTGCTGGGGCCCAGCAAACAGATAAACAAGCAGAGYGGATTGGAGAACTCTGGACTATCCAATTCCCTGCTCACGCGGAGCTCCTGGGAACGTCAGGGAAAGTTGTGCCAGGGGAACATACAGCTCCATGTCCTGCTTGTGATAATCTCTGCTTTAAAGCAGAGCTTGCCTCGCTCACCCCATTTGCCTGGGAGCACACGGGGACAGCCAAGGGCTGATGGGCTGCTCTGCCCGCCGAGCATCAGCGACTCCACACAGCTCCGTGCACGCTCCTTGCACACTCATTTTTCCCTTCCCTGCACTTTTCCCTGCAGCCCTGGAGACTCTGGCTCACAGTGTGGACTCCAGCGCTCACCAGCAGAGCTCAGCTTCGAGGTTCCACAGAAAACCTTGCAAAATACGCCACATAGTGCAAAACTACAACGCGAAAACGCCGATGCCGCGCTCGCGGCGCGCTGAAAAGCCTTCCTTCCCCAAAAGCTTTCTGTGGAACCAGTTAAAACCAAGGCAAACGCACTGGGATATGCCACCTCAATTATCTTTCCGATTTTTTTTGTGCTTTACAAGTGATCTTGCTTTGTCCTGAGCCTGATTCAGAGCCCACAGAAGCTTATGAAAACATTTCCCAGCGCCTTCCAAAGGCTTCAGACCAGGCCCCTGATGGGGATGAACACATGCTTTAGTTACTGTATATATTCACATTAGGATAAAATATAGCAAAACCAAACCACAAGGATTAACAGCATGTCATTTTTGTACATCTGAATTCTTAGTAGTATTTTAAAGCTTAAAGGATGTGCTTTTCCATGCTACAAAAACCCCTCTAGGAGGAAAGGTTAAGATCTGTTCCACCTGCCCAGAGCCCACCTGCTTCTGCTGTCCCCAGGGAGAAAGGTGTCCCAGGCAGGCAGGGACCACGGCTGCAGCTCCCAGGCTGCTCATCCCGGGAGGATGTTTATAAATGCACACTCTGCTGCACTCCTGCATGGGAGCTTTGCTTGACCAGCAGCTGAATCCCTCCCCCACGGGCTGTTTGGCCAAAGGGCCCGTGTAAACATGGGGTTCCCTTCCCTGGCCAACCCTTCCTGCTGCTCTGCCCGAGGCTGCAGCCAAGAGATTTCCCTTGGCACAGCGCTGCCCGTGGTCCCTCTGCAGGTTCCTGCTGATGTGGTGCACAAGGACCCATCCCTGGCTCTCTAAATGTCACCCACAAYGTCCAAAAGAATTCAAACTTCTCTTACTCGTGCAAGCAGGGGAACCCAAGTCAGCAGGCTCTACTTGCAGAAGTAAGGCATCAGGATTTGGCCCTGAGGACGGATATTTGCAAATCAATGTTTTTATTCCTCCTGCCTCTGTGCTTTAATAACAAAGATAAGGCCACTAGGAAGAAAGGCACGTGGAATTCTGTAAAAAATACACAAAAAGGTTCAACTAATTCGCAAATTACTAACAAAACAAAACAAAAAAACCCCTGAACACAAAGACAGAGGGGGTAGAAACAGTGACCTCCTGGGTTTGTGAGACTGGGAATTAATTTTCTAGTTTCAGTGTGATTAACATTTTACTTTTACAGTCTATTGCTTGAAAAAAACTACAAAAAGTAAAACCTTGTCAGAAATAACTACGCTTACTTCCTGCTCAAACAATAAAAATAAATTAAACAGCCAGAAAACGTTTTCCTTTTCAATGCATTGTGTCTAAAGTGAAAGGGAACATAAACCATAAATAAAATCCATTGTACTAATTAAAAAAAAAGTCTCCTTTATAAGAACTGAAACAATATTTACATTCATACTGGATAGAAAGCTTCTGAATTGCATAATTAGAGTTTCAAATGATGCTTTTTCTGGTGCACTGACAAAATGCTAGCTGTAGCATTTAGATACCTGTACATGATTGATGTGAGATTTTTGGTTTGAATGCAAGTCTGCTGGAAAAAAAGCAAACATACCAGTAACAATATTACGCTTTTGTTTTGTTTCTTAACCTCAAACAACATAAAAGGAGCTGGAGAGGTATCGTCTAAAGTTCCTTAGAAATTTCTCAATGCCCATGGACTGGAAGTAAACAGAAAAAAAAAATGACTGCATTGTTTCTACCATTTTGGAGTGAGATTTTTGTTTTCTATCTGAAGTTAGGAGTGTATACTTACTGTTAAGAGTATGTTGTACTATGGAGAGTCTAGTTAAATTTTCAGGGAAGTATCTGGTAGCCAAACCTGTACCCATTCCTCAGTACTTGCCCTGGCCATTTTCTTTCTCCTTTAATCTGCTTAAAAGAGAATACTGCATGCAAACCAAATACAGCAACCTAATGCCATTGCTGGAGATTCCTCTGTACATTGATTCAGTACATTTAAATGTTCTTCTGGTTTCTTAAAATTAAAAAAAAAAMMAAMCMWYMAAMMAAMMAAAAAAACCCAAACACCCCACTCGGTGTTTGTTAGGGCTTCAACTGGAGACTTATCTATTAAAACAGAAAGCAAGAAAAAAAAGGTTACAAGTCTTGCATAACTTCATCCATCTGAACTGTCTGCAGTTTGGCAAGTTCTTTTTTGTCCGTTTCCAGTTCTTCACATACCGTGTCAACTATGTTACTCATAACATACTTAGATTTGGAATCCAGCATCATTAAATTGCCAGTTGACTTACTCTCAGAATTAGGTAAGAAATTCTCTTTGACATCGGCTACGGCTTGCAGAACTAACCTGTGCTCTCTGCCAAAATCCTGGTGTACCTGTGCAGGGGGCTGGCTGACACGATCTCCACTTGTAGAAACTATTTCTCCAAGCACGGGCTGTGCTGTGGAAATGGACAGCAGATCCTGACTGGTGATGAGGGGACAGTTCTGAAGGGTTGCATAGTTAGTGTTGCTGATAGATATCACYGTCGAGGTACTGGTCACGGGTGATGACATGGGCTGGCTCTCCGAGATACCAGAGCTCAGTTCTGCAGCATTTAGAAGAGTTGGTGGTGTGAGGGAAAAATTGTGTGAGGGCGTTACATTCACTAAGGAGGASGCCAGGGACTGGAGTCCGGCGCTGGATATATTTTCAGAAGACATGTTGACGTTCAGTTGCGTGTTCTGACTGACTGGCATCAACTGAGAAAACACCAGGCTTCTTTCCAGTCCTTCTTGCTTGACAGATCCTACTGCCTGGCCYGAATTGGGAACTGTATAAACCACGGCACTGGGAGCCAGGGGGCTGAAGAAAACCTTCCCTTGCTGCACTGTTGAAGATTCAGTTGTGAAAGTTCCTCCATCAGATGTGCTGGGATTTACTGAAACATTACCTAGGAAAAGGGAAGCAAAAGACAGGAAAACAGAGATTACAGCTGGCAGAGAGTTATGCAGTCCTGGTCTTCTTTATCTTTTCGGTACACTAATATTTCATGCAACACTGAACAGCAATTTTTGTAACAGGTGAAAGAAAACTTGGTATAAAGAAATCAATGCTGTTGATAGAAATTGCTTCCAGAAAGTTTAAAAAAAAAAGTTTCTGGTATATCAGATTAGGTATCTTTCAGACTCTCATTAAGGGGCAAACAGTCCCCAGCCATGTGACTAAAATGAATGTGCTTTGGCCTTCACTAGTTGCCACCACTCAATTTCTATCTAAGAATAGAAGCATGAAAAGCTATTAAAGATAGTTCAGTGACAGACTACAGCTTGTGTGTGGGAACTGGAGACACATGAAATCCACTACAGCTGGGCAGAACCTGCCCRAGCCAACCTGCTCAGAAAACACGAAAAACCGGTAATTTCTATCGGTTTAACTAGGCAGTCCTAAAGCACTCAGATCTATATTGCCTTTCACCTTGCTTTATCATGGTTTTCTAAAATTCTGACTGCTCCACATCCACCATACTGTGAAAAGTCACCCAGCACAGCCTGCCCTTGCTGAAAGCCATGGCACTGCTTGTGGGATGTTGCRGTGAGCCAAAGCAAGAAGAGGTGGCCAGAGATGACCTGAAGCTGTTTTCACTGGACATGCCATGTCAGATGTCATTACGGTAACTCCTAAAATAAGAAATACTGGCTCCTGGGACAGAGTCCCACTTGGAACACCTCTCTTTCTCAAAAGCAGTTTAGTTACAATTTTAAGAGACTGCAGTTGGACACAGCTGAATTTTTTAGAACAGCAYCGAAGATTAATTTCTCACATGGGCAATGTTATAGCTTCCTACTAATTTCAGTTAATCAATCATGATTKTTTTGGAAGATGCTATACATATGGGTAAACTCGAAGAATAAAGCCAGGCAACTTGAAGTTACCTGCCAATATTATTTACTGTGCCTTACTCAAAATAGCCTGCAGCATGCTTCACTTGCAATAGGCAGCCAGTTATCCATACAAGAAAACCTGAACTTTTCCCTGCACCARAGACATGGTGGATCACTCTCCAGTGGGGAATCAGTATTTTTAACAATGGGGAAAATAGTCAGAGAAGAGCTTGTTATGAACTTCACGACTTTTAAATACAATAGTCCTACAATACTTGAAGGACAGAACTTGCTTTCTCACCTTTGCTGGCTGTCAGTTTATGCCTTGGAGCATGTGGATTAATTGGCTTTAGTAATCACAGGTGGCATTCAGGCTAAATGTGTTCTCTCTTTAATCTTGGTTAAACTATGTACCAATAATTTTCAGTGCCTGTGAGTGCCACRTTTTTGCACCTTATAATTCTGCACCCATTTGAAATGCGGTTGGACAGCTTCAGTGTTCCTCCCTGTGCCTCAGCAAGAGTAATTCACACCCTATACAAGTTTAATTCAAAGAAGCACATGAGCACAACTTGATTTTCATTACAGTATTCACAGCTCCTGAAACTGGAGAGAATCATTCCAATTTAATAATTTTCATAATCAAAGATACAGCRGCCAACGAGCAACAAAGATGTTTAATTGTGCTTTTTAACTGACCTGCTTCAAAAAAAGGGATCCAGAACTAGGTTTGTGCTCTCTGGGATTCTTCCTGGCCAGCTGCAAGATTCAGACTATGGTATGTTAAGACCAACTCTAAACTTGGGGAGGAGCCTGTGCACTTGGCACATGAACCTGTGATGACATATTTCCCTTGGACCGAGGGCAGTTTTATCCAAATAGCCTCACATTTTGTATCTACGAGCTAGTSCTTACTTCTATTGTTTCCCTCAAGTTTAATCTTTCTTAATTATGGAACAGAAAATGTACAAGCAACTGCTCGGTCTTGTTGTGTCTACAGTAATTCAAAATGTATTTTTGTGAAATGCCTTCATTAGGAAAACAAAAAACAAAAACAACCACCACAAGAACAACAATGGTAACAGTTTCCAGCTGCCATAATTTTCATTTTTATAAATCTTCTCATTGAAAGTGTTCAATGGCAAATGGGGAATATTTTGAATTACTGAAACATGTAAAATTTACAGATATTTGTGAAGACTGGTATCACAGACTTCTGTGAACAGCATGRGATGAAAGGGGTGTAAATTACCAGAGCTCCTTCCCTGCTCTTAACAGAGAGCTCAGCCTCATCTAACAGTCTACCCATGACCACAACCACTATAAAGGCAGGCAAACTGTATTGATGTTCTGTGTGTGGCAGTGGCTGAGATACAATGTTGATACCTTGAAAGAAAAGGACCAAAGCACCTAAAATGCTAAGTGTGCCTGATTCCAACTTTTTCTCATACCTCTTACTGCAAGAGGCAAAGCTTTTACCTTGTGAAGCTGCCACAGAAACAGGAGGCAGCTGCAGAGAAGAGAAACCAATGCTTCCGTTCAGCAGCTGGCCATTTGTTCCTGAATTGGGGATCTGGACAATGCCATACTGGTTTATTTGGACAGGAGCAGTAAAAGTAACTACGGAGCCTCCATCCTGGGAAGCAGCAGTTTCTACGCCTTCCCTTTTCACCTCTGAGCTCGGTATCAGTCCTGGGAAAGTGACCGGGATGTTGCTGGGGCTGAAGGCTGCTGTGGCATTGGGGACCGAAGCCTGGAGGAGTTTGAAGTCTTTAACATCTTCTGATGACGATGACGACAGTATGTCRGTGATGGAGACCCCGTTGCTCACAACACTCGAGGCGGTTTTGGGTGAATTTAACGTAACAGTCTGCGAAGTGCCCACGCTGAGTCCATTGAGTATGACACCGTTGGGTCCCTGAAGAAACGAGCTACCATTGAGGAAGACAGGAGAGGTACTGGCAGGCATGAGGTTCCCGTTCAACAAGACACCAGAYGAGCTCAAGGCTATTTTAGTGTTTCCAAGCTGCTGCATGTAGACAGGCTCCATGTGGCCGGGAAGGCTGAGGCTGGTAACGCCATCAGATGAGCTGGAGAGCGGATGGGGAGATAAATCCTCCCGCCCCTTACTGGATTCATCTTCTGTGCTAGGGTTGCCATCTGACTCGCTATGGGAAAAGATGGAGATGACATTGCATTACCACRGCATGCCAGGATCTCTGCACCAAGCGGGACTTCTTGCTTTAACACAAGTATGTGAGTTTCCACGAATAATTTTTTTCAGTGTTTTGCCTTTGCAAGGCACTTTAAATGAATATTCAAGCCAAGGGAGGAGGTTTCTTAGAAAAGAACACATCAAACCAAACACTCGCCGAGGAGAAACTTTACAGACTGGGTTATGGAGTTGTAAATAAATTCCTCCACCCCGGCGACCTAAGTGGGTTGCCTGGGCCCCCCTCCGCCGGCCCGGGGTGTCCACACGTGTGAGACCGGCCGCGGCCATTTGGCAAAGCGCTGGGAGGTGAGGCAAGGCCGGGAAGCGCTGCCGGACGCTCCGGGCTCTGCCCGCCGCCCCCGGCCCGGGGGAAGGGGGAGACCCCGGTCCGCGCTGCCCCCGGTGCCGGCGGAGGCACCTCCGGCCGTGCCCRTCGGCCGGGGGAGGGACGGAGGGATGGGGGGCGGCCTTTGTGCCTCCGCCCGGGGCTGCGCCGGGTTTTTTCGCTGACTGGTCCGCCCTCGGCTGCATTTTTCGGTCGCTCTCCCCTCCCTCCCCCCTCGCCCTTTGATGTGTCCCGCGGAGAGGGGCCGCGGCGGCACAATCGCGCCCTTGGTTGAGAAATGCCTTGGGGCCCCCTCCGCCGGCCGCTTTCCCTCCTTCTCTCCCCGCTCCCTTCCTCCCCCTCCTCCCCGCGCTTTCTCCCCCTTTCCCGTCCTTTCCCGGAGGAGGGCGGGGGGCGGGAGCGGGGAGGTCACCTCCACCTGCCCGCGCCCCCGCCGCGGGGCGGGGGGAGCCGAGCCCGAGCCTCGGGCGGAGCGGGACCGGGGCCGCTCTCCCGCCCCGCGGCACGGCCGGGAGCCCCGGGAACCGGCCCCGCTCCCCCGCTGAAACCCGAGCCCGGCCCGCTCCCGAGTCAGGTTTCAAAACAGAGGGAGCGCCGGGACCCCGCGCGTCCTCCGGCCGTCAATGATTAACTCTGTCAGGCGCGACAATTGAATAAAAACAAGGAGCGGGGGGAACAAACACCCCCGTCCCGTCCTCTCCCGGGAGTCCGCCCGGCGGCTCCCCCGTGCCGGGAGCTCCCCCGGGAACGCGGGGCGGCGGGTCCGGGAAGTTTCCCCGCGCCGCTTCGCACGCCCGGGCCGGGTGGGTGTGTTGGGAGCGAGGGAGCGGGGAGGAGGAAGGAGGGGAGGACGAGGCGCACCGAAGGTAAGCGCCATGTTTGCAAGGGAAGAAAGAGCCGGGAGAGGGAAAGGCAGGCGGGAGAGGGGGCGGGGAGGAAAAGTTTTCCCTCACCTTTTGGACTGGGTCTCGGAAGGGTTGCGGTCCCGCTGCCTGCGGTTCTTGAACCAGTTGCTGACCTGGGTGAGGGACAGCCCGGTGATCTTGGCCAGGTTGCGCTTCTCGGCGGGCGAGGGGTATCGGTTCTGCTTGTACAGCTCCTTCARCGCGTTGCGGGACTTCTCCTTGAAGCAGTAGACCGTCTCCTCGCCGTCCCAGATGGTCCTGGGCAGGGGGTATTTCCTCCGCAACCTGTACTTGTCCACCGCCCCCAAGGGTCTGCCCCGGGCTCGCTCCGCCTCGGTGTAGCGAGCCTTGTACCAGAGCTCCTGCAGCAGCGGGTGGTTGGAGGAGTCGAAGTTGTGGCTTTCCAGGATGCTGTAGAGCTCGGCGTAGATGCCCTGGTGGAAAGCCACCAGCGCCCGGGCTTTCATCAGGCTCTCGTTGCCACGTAGCAGATCGCTCGGGGGCAAAGACCACAGGAACCTAGCCAGGCGGTCCAGGTTCCCACCTTGCTGCAGCGCCTCGCACACGCAGGCGACGTGGTCCGGGGAGAAAGCCAGGGGGGTCTGCGTGGAGGAGGAGGAGGAGGAAGAAGATGAAGAGGAGGGAGAGGAGGCAGCGTGGTGATTCCTGGCCAGGAGTTCCGTATGGAGCAGTACCTGTTCCGCGGCTCCCTCCTCGCCGGCGGCGGCGGAGCCTGCGTGCTCCATGGGGAACGGGGCAGCGGCGGGAGGGGGCGGCGGCGCGGGCCCGTCAGGGGCTTCGGAGAGCATTTCCATCACATTTTCCTCCTTGATCTCTACCGCGATCACGATGTCGTCCGTGGCGGGGGAGGAAGAAGACATGTTTCGGTTTGTTTTCCTTTTTTTTTTTTTTTTT